ATTTATTATTATTATTAAGATTATTAATATATATAATTTAAATAAGTAAAAATTTATATAATTATAATAATTGAAATATTAAAATCACATAATTATTGTACTTAAGAGACAAAATTATAAATACTTAAAAAATTAAAATTATTTAATTAAAATTTGAGGACTAAAATTATACAAAATTTGTAAAACTAAAATTGTTCGGTGTTGGACATATATAGGACCTTGGATGATATATATCCGTCAGTAAAAAAAAAGGTATTTAATTAACCCTGATAAAATCTTTCATCAATACGGTACCCCTTAAATTTCAAAAACTTTTCTATCAAGTCATCATATTCCACTTACCATAAATATTCCGGTTATGAATAAGTAATTTGACTTTACAATGAAACAAATACATAACAGAAAAAGATTAAAAACTCATAACTTAGCAAGTAGCAACTGACATTACAGCAAGCTCCTTAATTAGTAATAATTACAATTGATCTTAGCAAATAAGAGTATATAGAATTGAGACCCGTAAATTGAAATCCTGTCACATATATAGCTTGATGAAATTAATTTTGTGTAGCATTAACCAATCACACAAAGTCCTTTATTGTCTGTGTCCTTCCACGACCCAGATGGCAGTTTTTCTAAGTTAATACCCAACAAACAAGTTATTGGAAACCTTGTATCAAGGTCAACATCAGTCAGAGAAGACAAGGCCTAAATTTGGTATTGGTATGAATATCAACGTTAACATAAGGCCTTTCCCACGCAGTTTTGTTTCCACACGACTAAACCCAAAGAAAAAGCAAAACTGCTACTTCGTACCAAACCTTCTCCTTACACAATTTTCTCAGAATAATACGTATTTATTATTATTAATTTTAACTTTTTTTTATAAATCGATTCATATGAAAATAAATAGCTAATTCATTGATATCAATAAAAATAATTAAATTATTTTTTAGTTTTTGACAGCAAATTATTTTATAGGTTCTTAAATTTGAATTAAATTCATTTTTAGTTTCTTAAAATTAAAAGTGATTTTTTAATTTAAAAATAAACCACTTTTAATCCTTATCAAAGATTAAAGAGACAACAAATTAAATGAGGATAAAAAAATGAACTATTTATAAGAGACTAAAAAATCACATTTGAGAGAAAAATAAACTTTGTATAAATTTAAAAGATTAAAAACATATCTAAATTTAATTTTAATTAATAATATCACAAATTTTGATTTTATCATTCAAATATCCATAGGCTTAATTAAATAATTTACTAGTAATTTTATTTAATGACACAACTCATAATTTAAGAGATAATATTTTTTTATGAATATAAATTATATAATTAATAGTCTATCTATCTATCTATATATATATATATGAATTGAATGAACATCTTTAGGAGTCAATTCTCTTTTTTATAAGAGTGTTCATTAGATTAAATTGACCAAATGAACACGACTATTCAAACAAAATATTTATTTTATAACTATATAAAATAAATATATATTTTATATAGTTATAATATATAGTAAATAAATATATTTAAATATATAAATTATATTATAAATAAAATTTATAATAAATAAATAATTTTTGAACATATAATTAATTATTTTTAGATTTAGAATGAAAAAATTATATTGTAATACAAAATTATTTTTAAGTTATAATATTTACAAATTTAAGTTATTGACCTAAATATACTATTTATTTTATAAATAATTTTTAAATTTAAAAATTAAAAAAAAATTAAAAAAGATGAGAGGTGGAAAAAATTTCTAAAACTCTCATAGAAAAAATCAGTTAAAAATATTTGAAGAATATCATTCGATATAATGATTCTAATTTATATATAATTTTTTTATTATACAATTAATAGCATTTCTCAAATTAAAATGCACGGATTATTTTGCTATTTAATTAAATTTTATGCATAAAACAAATGATAATAATCTTTTAGTGAACCTAAAATCAACAATTGAGTAATTAAATAAAAGCTCATTCATTTGTAGAGCTTCAAGCTTCACCTTCGTTACTTGTAACAAAAAAAAAAAAAAAACCTTTGTTATATTCAATGATGATATGTAGAGACTTTTTCTTTAAGGGTTTGTTTGGTAAAAGAAATGGAAGAGAAGAATAAAGAAGTGTAAGAAAGTGTGAAAAAGTGATTATATTTGATAAGGAAGAATTAAAGAGAAACGAGGAAAAGTTTTTGTGGGCCCGGTGATAAAAAATACTTTCCCTCTAAAATGTGGGAAAATATGTGGAAGTTATATATATATATAATTTTAAAAATAAAAATAGTAAACAATCTAATTTTTATGATAATAATAATAGTTTTGACTTATGATTTTAAAATAAAATTATTTGTAAAAAAATAAACTTTTACTCTATTTCTCTTCTATTTTTCCTTTACCAAACACTTTTATTTTTATTCTATTTCTCTATACTTCTCTTTTTTTATTTTCTCTTCTTTTTCCTTCATTTCTTTTCTCTTTACCAAACATAAATTAAGGCAACTTTCTACATATCTTGTTTCCTTTTCATAATAAAAATAAAATAAAATTAGACATCAATTGAAATATAAAAATAATGAACCTAATTATTATTAATTGAAGAAAAAATTACAAAAATCGAAACGGAGGACTTTGGGTCAGTCAAGTCAACTATGCTGAATTTTCTATTGGAAACCTATCAAGATCCATGTTGTTCCCATAGGAAAGTCCCACGAATTGAATGAAAAGAGTTTCGTTTCTACACATCAATAAATGATGTTTTTTTTGGTGTATCATCAATAAACAATGTTTGGTTTCAAAGTCGCGGTAGGCAAAGTAAATAAATTTGGTTATAAAAGCTAGCAAGAGCAGAAATAATTTTCATTGAGCCAATAACTTCATCCAAGAGCAGATTCATATAAGAAAAGATAATTACCAAATGGGTGTGTTTTCATCAAGAGGTCACTTTCCTTTGTTTGTTGTGTCCTAATTCTGGTAACAAATTTTATATCCCAAGCCAGCGCCGATAACAATGCAGAAAAGTACTACCACTACTTCTGTGATCATAATAACGATAGAGGAAACTACACAGGCAACAGCACCTACCACACGAACCTCAACACCCTCTTGTCCACTCTCACGCAGACAAAGTGTACGCCATTGGGGTGTGCAGAGGAGATGTTAAGGCAGAGGAATGCCGAAAGTGCCTCCAATATTCGAGAGCCAATCTCACGCAGCTTTGTCCAAACAAAAAGGAAGCAGTTGGGTGGTACGAGGATGAGAAATGCATGTTGCGTTACTCAGACCGTTCAATATTTTCCCACGTAGAAATTGGGCCTGCGTATTTTGCGTGGAGTTTAGTGAATGCAACGACGCAAGTGGAGCAGTTCAATAAAGTGGTGAAGGAGTTGCTTGATGGCTTGAGAAGAAAAGCTGCGTTGGGTGACTCTGAGAGTAAATATGCCACAGCCAATGCAACTTCTCCAGATAACAAAACAATATATGGGCTTGTGCAGTGCACTCCTGATTTGTCTGGCCCAGACTGCGATAACTGTTTGATTCAGTCCATCAAAGACGCCTCAAATTGTTGCACTACCAGGATTGGTGCTAGAATTGTTAGGCCCAGTTGTAATCTCAGATATGAAACCTCATCTCTCTTCTATGGACCTCCGGTATATGCAACATCATCATTATCATTATCACCATCACTATCACCATCATCTTCTACGGTTACTAATAACGCATCAGGAACTTCGGTGGATATAATCCCTTTGCTGCTGTTGTTCTTGTGTTCATTTTTCATTTCTGTTTAAGAAAATTACTTTGAAAGTAATTAAGCTCTATTCTAGTTAGCTTAATTATCAGGAGAATCGATCTCCTCGTAAATAAGCTGCAGCAGCAACACTTGTTATTTTAGTCTTAGATACGAACTTTCGACTTCGTGCTTGTGTGTTTTACACTTGGGTTATTTTTTATTTTCTGAACTTTATTTAGAATAGTCATATATTTAAGATGTTGTGAATTGTGATTTATATTTATGGAGAAAATATAATGAGAGTTATTTGTCTCATGAAACAATTCAAGTCCTGGTTTCTTGCTATTGAAGGACTCTAACGTGGTAACATGAGTTGCTTGAAGAAGAGAGAGAGTTGCTTTCTAAAGCAACCGTTCCTTACCAGATCTTATTGAACATATTTGGGAACGTTTCGAAAATAATAATGATGAAAATTAATTTCGTATAATGTTTATGTATTTACTATATTGCTTTATTTTATTTTTAATATCTACTTATTGTATATTTTTTTCTCGTAATTTATTTTCTTTCATTATAGTGCAATTATCCTTTTTAATAAAAATTTAAATTTGATTCATAAATGATTAGAAAAAAATTCTAAAAGTTAAATTTCTTAAATTTCTTATTATTTAAGTAAATTTGTGTTTGAGTTGCTTAATATTGACATGACATATTGAAAATCACTTTTTTTATTTTTTAATGCATGAAAGTACAACTCAGATGAATTACTTCCATTGGAGATGCCCTAATATAATTTTAGACTTCCACCATGTTCAATCATAAACTAACATAAAAGTAAATTATTTAACAAAATAAATTGTAAATGGAAATTACTTAGAATGCATTGATAATGTAAAAAACATTTCTAATAATATATTGACGTGTGTGGTAAATTTGCTAAGTTTTACTATAATTACTTTAAATTACGTGTAGAAATAAATATTATATAATAAATGGTGGAAAAAAATATAAAAAGTGGGTTAATTAGACGAATGATGTGTAGGAATAAATACTACATAATAAATGATGAGAAAAATATAAAAAAAATGATTAATTAAACGAATGAAGAGAATGAAAATATTTTCTGAAACTCAGCTCTATAATAATTAATACAAGACAAATTTTATAATTTCATTTGACACTGAAGTACTCCCTTTATTTTGTTTTTTTTTTTTTGACGTAGATTCATACAGAATTAAGAAAGTAACTTATATTTTAGTTTTTTAAATTATTTATTACTTATTTTCCTATTATATCTTTTAGATGATTGAAGAAAAAATAGATATATTAAAAATAAATAAACACAATATTTATTAAACATACATTAATTATTAAGAGTAAAAATAAAAATAAAATTATTGATTTTAAAAATATAAATAAAAAATAAAATCAAAATGATTATGAAAAAAGAACAAAGATAATAACTACAAATATACAACTGGGACGCCAATATTGAAATTTGAAACCTCTCATCCTAGTCAACGTCATGATATTTTCTACAGTATTAACCAATCACACAATATATATCCTTTTCGTGACTCAAGGCATGCCTAGATGGCAGTCTTCACCAGTCAACACTTAACAAAGAAGTTGTAAATCAATTATGTTAAACAAGGCCTAAATTTGATGGCGGAGGAAACCAAACCTATCAAGATCAACATTGGTCTTACCTTTCCCACCTGAATTAAAACAGTTTTATTTTATTTATACACGACTCACCCAAAGAAAAAGGGAAAATGGGAACGCGGGTACATCCCATTTCTGGGTGTACGGTGTAAAAAAAAGAAGAAGAAGAAGAAATAAAGATAAATTGATGAATGGAACGAATCATATAATAAGAAATAAAAAGAGAAATAATAAAAAAAGGAGTTGTAAGAGAAGTATGAGATGAACATAAGCACTCATGAAATAACAATGTTATTTCTAAGAAGCCTCCCTTAAGAATTACACAAAGTAATCAGTTGTTGCATTTGACGAAATATAAATTTGAAAGCAGTGATGATACCCGTGAACAAGCGACCAACCGCGTAACTTGATCGTATTCCTTGGCCAATAAAAGATAACTCATTGTCTCGTTCATATCTGAAAAAGCTTCAACCATCAAATTTTTAATTGTAAGACAACCAACATGGTTGTGTTTTCATCAAGGCTACTTTTTTCCTTTCTTTGTAATATTCTTCTCATAACAATTTCTATATCTCAAGTTAGCGCCGCTAACACTACACAAGACTACCAATACTTCTGTGATTTTACCAACAGAGGAAACTACACAGCCAACAGCACATACCACACGAACCTCAACACCCTTTTGTCCACTCTCATTTCCAATACAGAAATCGACTATGGTTTCTACAATTTCACAAACGGCGAAAACACTGACAAAGTGTACGCCATTGGGCTGTGCAGAGGAGATGTTAAGCCAGAAGAATGCCGCAGTTGTCTCAACGGTTCCAGGGCCAATCTCACACAGCTTTGTCCAAACAGAAAGGAAGCAATTGGGTGGTACGAGAATGAGAAATGCATGTTGCGCTACTCAGATCGCTCAATATTTTCCCTCATGGAAACTGGACCTGCGTATTATGCTCACAACACGATAAATGCAACGGACTTGGATCAGTTCAATCGAAGTCTCAGCTCGTTGCTGCGTGACTTGAAAAGCCAAGCTGCATCAGGTGACTCTCGTCTTAAGTATGGCGTAGGAAATATATCTATTCCTGATGACAAGGTCATATATGGTCTTGTTCAGTGCACACCGGACTTGTCAGGCTCAGATTGCGATGATTGCTTGGCTCAGTCCATTGAACGTATCCCAATAGATTGTTGTAAAGATAGCAAAGGTGGTAGGGTTGTTAGACCCAGTTGTAGCATGAGGTTTGAAACCTCGTACCATTTTTATGGACCTACAGCATATACACCGCCACCCTCCACCAGCACCACCTCAGAAGGTATGCACTCGTTACAATTTCTATGTATTGTTACTAAAACAATCTAAAAAATTATGGTAAATCTATCTTTTAAGATAGTCATTATAAAAGTAATCAGCATGGTATAATAAAGATCTATTTGTAGTTTTGTACTGTCAGTATAGACTATCTTAATCAAGTGATCAATTGCTTCTAGTGAATTAAATTACTTCATCTTACAGTTTTTACGCGTGCAGAATTATGAACGTTTTCTTCTTCTTGCAGTGTTGTTTTCTTTATTCATCTGACAGAGGAAAAATATAAAGTGTTGCGCTAAATAGTACGAATAATTGTCATCAGAGTTATACCAACGTATCATGTGTATTTGTTTTGAAGAAAACAATTGTTGTAATACAGCCGATTGTACTTGGTGTTTTCGTGTTTTCAGTTTGGGTGATATTTAGGATGTGGAAGGTAACAAATTTTCAAAAATCGTGCTTAAGAGGGCCTTAAAAATTAGTTATTGGACTTGTTGATATTTTATTGTCTTTATCTGTGGAACAGTGATGGTATTTGTAACAAAATAACAAATCATATTTCTGTTCTTGCAACAGTTTTCCATGCAATTTAGCATTTTTGTTTATGGAATGTCCCACTGAGAATTTTGATTTGTGCAGGAAGCAACACAATTACCATTGCCATAGCAGTTGCAGTACCAGTTTTCGTAGTTGTTGCGGTGCTCATTTTTATCTGCATCTATTTTAGAGCAAGGAAGCCAGGGAAGAAGTATAAAAGTAAGTGGAAGTAATGGTTTACTGTGACATGTTTTTCTATTTAATAGTCCCACATTGTTGCAATGAAGTAAAAACAATGCAACTCAAACTAAAATCATAGGCGAACTATTATCTTAATCTAGAGTAAATCCTTCCATTAAATCATGTGAGATAAACATACAATCCATTTTGTAAAAATAAAATAACTTTCGGTAATTACTTCAAGAATGCTTCACTCAATTACTGCTAGGAATAGCCAAACACAGAGGAAGCCAATAACCTTCGTGCTTCGGTTTCACGATAAGAAATTATATCTAACAACGGTAGTTTTAGACTGCATTGAATTTTTTATCAGCTTAGTCGGAGAAACCTTGTTTTGTAAATTGTAATATTGCTCTCATATCACATATGAAAAAGCTCACTAATTTAAATCCGTTCCCCCTTGTGAAGCTCAACAACAAGAAGAACATGATGATGATGAAATTGACATTTCTGAGTCATTGCAATTCAGCTTTAACACCATACGAGAAGCTACTGATAACTTTTCTGATTCTAATAAACTCGGACAAGGTGGATTTGGGGCTGTTTACAAGGTAAGATAACACTCTTAAACATAACAACTTCATCCAAATATGATATACACAATTACTAGCTGAGAGCTAACTATTCCTAACTGTTGTATTTTCAGGGTAGGCTCTCCAACGGACAAGAGATTGCTGTCAAAAGGCTATCAGCGGATTCTAGACAAGGAGATACAGAATTCAAGAATGAAGTGCTTTTAGTGGCCAAGCTTCAGCACCGGAATTTAGTTAGGCTACTTGGTTTCTGTTTGGAAGGAAGGGAAAAACTACTTGTCTATGAATTTGTTCCAAATAAAAGCCTTGATTACTTCGTATTCAGTAGGTTTAATTTTTATGCCTGTTTAATTGAACCATACCTTTATTACTTCATTGTGGTTTAAGACTAAACTTAATTACACATTTCTAAGATTCATATGGCTTGTTTGTGTATGTAGATCAGACTAATAGAGCACAATTAAATTGGGAAACACGCTACAAGATTATTGGAGGTACTGCTCGAGGCATTCTCTACCTCCATCAGGATTCTCGATTGCGCATTATTCATCGTGATCTCAAAGCAAGTAACATTCTTTTAGACGAAGAAATGAATCCTAAAATATCAGATTTTGGTTTAGCAAAATTATTTGTTGTGGATCAAACTCATGGAGATACAAATAGAATTGTTGGAACCTAGTAAGTATTTAATTTATTATATAACAATTGAAATTGAAGAAAAAAAGTTTTTGATTGTGAAAAGATTTTGCTTAACTAAGCATATTCCCTATTGTGATGCAGTGGATACATGGCACCTGAATATGCAATGCATGGACAGTTTTCAGAAAAGTCTGATGTTTTTAGTTTTGGTGTATTGGTTCTTGAGATTGTTAGTGGCCAGAGAAATAGTGGCATTAGTCATGGAGAGAATATAGAGGATCTACTAAGTTTTGTAAGTCATCCTTTTCTTTGCATTTATATAAGCCTGGGTGTTAATCTACATTACCATAGAAATGGAATCTAACTAATAATATATGTAACTGAGCAAATTCATGCAGGCATGGCGAAACTGGAGGGAAGGCACTCCTAGAAATATTGTAGATCCCACATTAAACAACAGTTTTCAAAATGAAATAATGAGATGCATTCACATTGGACTACTCTGCGTTCAAGAAAATGTGTCTGCCAGACCCACTATGGCTTCCGTTGTACTCGTGCTTAATAGTCATTCTCTCACTCTCCCAGTACCATTAGCACCTGCATTTTATGTGGATAGTAGAACTGGAAACCTTCCAGACATGCACTTATGGGAGTTTAATTCGAGAACCACAGGATCAAGCGAATACACATCGATTAACGAGGCTTCAATTACTGAGCCATATCCTCGTTAGACTTTCATCATAATGATAATAGTCAGAAATATAGTCAATTCGGAATAATCAGATTCAATTCTTCAACTAAAGTGCAGTCACTGCAGTGTATGTGAACTCTTATAAGTTGTTCTTTGGTAGACAGACCAACTATCCCTTTGTTTAAGTGCATGTCTGGATTCACGTTTTAACCGATTTGACGCAGAAGTAAAAAATCATAGCATCTTATTTTCCATCGTTTACGTGAGTTAAGCCCGGGAAACGTGAAACCAAACACACTGTAAAGTGAGATAAAAACGTGTAATGTGAAACTCTGATTTAATTATGCGTTATAAAATGTGTGTTATGGAGATTCTGCTAGTAGAACAGCTTGCCCTATGTGCTGCAATAGCATAATATACCGGATAAAATTAAAAATTCCTCCAAACCTCCATTTTCAGTGGGATGATATTTTGCATCTGAATAAGTTTCAATGAATGGACAAATAAGTCGTCGGGTACTAAATCACTGATAAAATTTATTATTATTACTAATTTTCCTATTTCCTGTGATATTTGTGATTATTGTCATAGCTCGCGGTATTTATTAGTTTTGTTTTTCTGTATTGTCTTCTTTTCTCGTTGGCAGAGAAGAGGTTAAATTAGCAAGGACAGTAACTTAAATAATGCACGTTCGCAACAATTTAAATATTTCTATAGGGGGCATAAAGATCTCTACAATAAAGCCTAGTAGCAAGTCTTGTTACTTCATTACCTATCCCTGACAGAGAGGTCGTAAATACAATGGTACTAGTTTGGAATTTTCCCACTGTATTCTCATTGATGTGGCCATTGTGGGGTTATATTTCAACGAGTAAGTCATACAGAAAACTCCAACCCCAGATGAATAAATGTATTGTGACTAGACGCAATTCTAAAAACTCGTTAGGCTCATGATAGCTCAACTATCCTTGGACGTTTTTTGGAATGACCTTTTCCTTTTTGTTTTTCCTGAATATTATCCTTGCCGGAAATAGATTCTTGAACATGAGAGAACGGCTTTTCACTGTTGTTTCCATCATCGCGATAATTGTCACCACTTTCAATTTCATCATCCCCACTGTCATCATCAGAACTACTTTCCTCCGAATCTGTTTCACTACCATCAGCAGCCAATGGAATCACTGGCTGACAAGTGGAAATTGCAGATTCAGCAGCAGCCACCGCCTCTGATGTATGAAGATCAGCAACACCAAGCATCAAATCCTGCAAGAAAACAAAAGTAAAATAAATAATTCAATTCACTAATTGCATGTCAGTAATATATAGACAAGCAGGTAGAAGGATTATTGATATACAAAGAGAGATAATAATAATAATAATAATTATAATAGTGACTAACACTGACCATTTCAATAACTTTGGATTCATTCCCAGTTAGCTCTTCAATATCATAATTCTCGGGATGTTCCTACATATTATATATAAGCAAATATATTTAAAACTACAAAAGATAGAATAGAGTAAAAAAGGGAGAAAATATTTGCAAAGCAGTAAAAACAATGGCTTCAATCAGAAATCAAGTTTTAACCTTTGCATCAAGTTCCAGCCGTTTATTTGCTTCTGACATCACTCCTAGGAAGTCTTTAACCTTCCCTAAAACTACATCAACAAACAAAATTTGATCTCAGGCAAAAAATTGTAGTTCATTTTATAACTTTGTATTCAGAGTTCTGCTAAATTCAAACTATATCTACTTCAATGCTTAGGACTAGAATATAACTAGGTAGCTTAATATAAACACAATTCAACAGTGAAATATTATTGAGGGAAAAGGCTACAATATCTTGTTTTGTTAATGTCTGTTACATCCAAAAGTTTAGCAATTAATGATTTAAAATTCTAGAGAGACCGATCACATATGAAATAATTGTAAAACAATTTACAAAAACACACATGAATAGGCAGAGAAAACTAAATCAATACCATTATGCCAGACAAATAAAAGAGTTCTTGTAGACAAGGATGAGTTTATATTGGATCACAATATGATTAAGATCTTGAACTTTGAATGCTTAAACAAATAAACTATTTCACTTATAGTAATAACCAGTAACATACAGCCAATCTGTTTGGCACACAACACCAGGGGAAGAAAAACACCAGTGTCAGACAGATCAAACCAAAAGCTAGGTTCAAGACAACATAAGACCAAAGAGACCCTTTTAGGGAGGACTCCAGCAGCACAGCGGGGAACTGATTCAGAGTGAGACCCTAATTCAAGGGCATCTATGGTCAATAACAATGAAGTACCATCGTCTACTGCAGGTCCATCACACTAGCTGGGGACATAATAGGATGGTAGTTTGCATGGATGTGGGTAAGAGTAACAGTACAGGTACAGAGTACAACGAATTTCCAAGAACTAGAGTACAAGTATAGAATGATATAAAATAGAGCAATATAAAAGCAAAAGCAACAAAGAAATTAAGTCATAAGACAAATACAAGTTTCATTATGTTCTAACTCAAGTAAGCAAAAATTTAACTTAGCAAACCAAACAACTTTGCAACAAAATTTAAATGTCTAGGAACTCCCATACATCATACATGACATGTATATCCCAAGCATCATCATGAACAATTGGAAAGTCACGTCATATGTGACATGTATATCCGATGCATCAGCCTATGTACATGTCAGCAATTGCATACAGCAAAGCATCCCAGGCATCGAACAAACATTGTCAACAAATCGGCACCCCATGTCAACATAAGCTACCAACTTCTAGGCAGTTGTTTCGGACCTTAGTCTAGGTCATAAATGGCCAATTAGGGCACCCCACTCACCACACCGTTTAATATCTCTACGGATAATCTTCTTATCACAGAATAGTCCTCTTATCTCTAACTTCTTAGTAAAGATGAGACCAAAGAGACGATAAATATCTCATTGCAGCCCACATAGGGTATGCTATTTCTCTAACCCTGGCCAACTCTTAACTTTGCTCTTACTGACTTGAGCCTGCGAGTCTTTGCAGTTGCCTCCTAAAATATCCGACATGAAGACCACTTAAGACTCTCATTGCAGATACACAATTACTACCCTTGGACGTCCAGAGCAAAAATGAAATCCAATAGTTTTAAGGGTAATTCTCGAAAAAAATGCAAATTGTTGACAAATTTAATACTACTAACCGAATTAATAAGATATCTTAATTGTGAAGTAGTTGAAATTTGAAAGGGTCTTGTATATGGACCAGAGGTACTATAATGGTAAGCATAGAAACATATCTCAGCAAATATAACAGAAAAGTAACAGAAATAAATTTAACAAACTGACAACTATAATATATCAGCTATTTTTTATATGAATAAAAGAAAAACAACAATTGAGATGTGCCTTAATAAAAACATGTAAAATTTAAACACTTGAGATGAATTTGAAAGAGTACGTTGGCTTGGGGGAAGTGGAGCAGTGAGGGGCGTGCCATGAGGGGGGAGTCTCCTAGTTTGAATTTCCGATTCTCTTTTATTGTCAGAAACAAGAAGAGCAGATTCTGCACGAACAAAGGAACTTCATCATTAGGGCACAAAAGAAAATGAAAATTAGCAAACAAATTCCATTGAAGAAAGATAGAGACCTAAGGAAGAAAGGGGCGTGCCCTTGTGCTCAAACTGGAGAAGCTCTTTGCTCCTCTCTGCCATGTCTTATTGTCAGCTTTCTCCGATGGTTACGAAGGGCGTTTAAGGTAGCGAATGCACACGTTGTTGGACTAGGAACTACGAACCACGAAGGGTATAGGTTAGGGAAAATGAGTTTGTTTAAAACTCGTATAAAAACGTGGGCTTATCCTCTTGGAACGTTGTAGTGGGCTTTCGTGTCCGATGTAGATAAGGCAGATGTTAAACACACCTCCGTTTCAACACACCCCCTTTTTTTAAAAAAATATATAAAATATTTAAATTACCCTTTAAAAAAAATAAAATTCTTAAATTTACACCTCCCTTCCCCGCACCCCCCTTATCCTGTATAAGCATGTAAACTTTAGTCTGGAACGACACCAGAACGGGCTGTTCTGCAAGAAGAACGACCTGTTCTGCTTTTAGAACGGTCTGTTCTGCTTTCAGAACGGTCTGTTCTGCTTTCAGAACGGACCGGTCCGTTCTGCTTTCAGAACGTCCCGTTCTGCAAGCAATACGGCCCGTTCTGCAAGCAGTACAGGCCGTGCTGCTTGCAGTACGGGCCGTTCTAGGGCCGTTCTGTTGCAGTACAGGCCACCGCGTCACTTTTAAAATGGTTACTTTATGACTGATTTTAAAACTCCGATTTTAAAAGTCATTTTTGTACTGGTGTTTCTTTCCATAAAACAAGAGTCTTTCTCTTACAAGACCACCTGCTGACATTGCGCACCCCTCTTCTTTCTCTTTCTGGCACTCCTCTTCTTCTTCTTTTTTTCCCGCACCTCGCAACCCCTCTTCTTTCTCTTTCTGGCACTCTTCTTCTTCTTCTTCTTCTTACTGTTACAGAAAGTTCTTTCCGGAATTATATAAAAATGTTCCGGAAAATACTTTTCATAATATTAAATTCTTATTCCGGAAAGTATTTTCCGGAAATGTTTTGTTACATAATTCCATAAAGTATTTTCCATAATATTAAAGTTACTATTACGGAAAGTTCTTTCCGGAATTATATGAACAATAATTTTACTATTCCGGAATGCTAATGACTGTAAAAGTACTTTCCGGAATGCTAATGATTGTAAAAGAGTCTTTCTTATGCTGGTTATGGTGGGGTTAGTCCTTTTTTCTATTCATAATGACTGTAAAAGTATATTACTTAATGACATTGAGCGGAAAGAAACTTTGGGAAGAAGAGGGATGTGGAGTGTGGGGTGCGGGAAAGGGGGGTGCGGAGAAAGGAGGTGTAAATTTAGGAATTTCATTTTTTTAAAAGGGTAATTTAGACATTTTATATATATTTTTTTTAAAAGGGGGTGTATTTATACGAGAGTGGAGGTGTGTTTATCATCAGCCTGTAGATAATTATTTGGCTGGGCTTGGGCTTGAAGTCTTTGTTTGTTTTTGTTCCTCCTCTCATTGGGCCTTTGTTTTGATGAACTGTTGACCAAAAATAAAAACTGATCATGGAATAAAAAGTTGTATCAAATCTTGCCTTTGGTTTATTTCGCTCACTCTTTCCTTGGTAGTCTAACTAGGAATTAAAAGTTGTTACACCTGTGAAATTGAATTTTAATCTTCACAACCAACTATTATAAGGGCTAAAAGCCTTTCCTAACTCAACCGAGACATTTCAGTTTCATGATTGAACGCTGTAATTACTTGAAAGGCTAAAGAATGAATTTACTCAGCGAATGAAAGCTAGCTTTTAACTTTTTGCCATCAGACATAAGAACAATTGTAACAAGAAGTCAGAAATTAAAACCAAGAGAAAAAGAAAAAGAAAAAAAAAACAGAAACAATCATCTTCCTTTGTGATCAATACTTGGGAAGAGAACATTCCCTTGGAAGATTGTTTTGGAACCTCTCATTGTCTAGACAGTAATCATAAATCATGTGGTATTTCCTGACCCATTTGAACCACCTTCTTTGTGTGGAAGTCAGTGTGCTAAATTTGTATTGGTTCCACCAATTGGTAGGGCTAGCTGCTCTGCAAAACCTTGGGTTCCCATTCCACACACAAGCATCAATGTTGTAATTTTTGAATGAAGCTATGAAGGGACCCTTTGTCCAATCAATCTTATCTTGGCCACCTCGTGTTGCCCAGCTATCACCATTCCACAGGGTCGCTTTCAGACTCATTGGCTGCCATCTAGGAAATGCTACACCCTTGTCTCCATGGTTTCTATACACTCTTATGGGAATCATATCCACCGTTAATCTGCAAAAGCCAAAGTCAACTTTACAACTAACCTTTTGGAAACAGTTTATAGAATATTTTAGTAAAATTATATAAAAACTGTTATATTTATTGTTCTCCTGTATTTATGTGTAAAACTCTTAAATTACGGTCACTTTAAGATTTTAAGACGGAGTAATTATATATGTTTGTGCCATCAATGTAGTTATTTTATTGAAGCCGTTTTCCCCCAACGAAGTACAAAGGGTTGAAAGAGCAATGCAATTTAGGCTGTAAAAAGGTTTCGTTGGTTGTTGTGACTTGTGGAAGATGGCTCACACAATCTGGTGCAGATTCCACAACACAGAATAAGTATGGAAGTCCTTTGTTGGATCAAACCACAGATAAATTCTCTCCTCTCGATTGTCAGTTCCATCTACAAAAATATTTGTTTGTAGAATATATGGCTGCCCAGAGACGTTGCCAAGAAACTCAAAGTCTATCTCATCTCTATTAGGTTGATCGGAGGCAAGCTGTAATAATATATTGCCAAACTATAATGAGTCTATATTTTAATGATTCAAAATAATCAGAAAAAAGAAGAATGAAGGGATGCTTACATAATAGGCCAGGACAGTGCCTGCAGAATCACCTGGCACTAGTTTGATTTGCATGTCAATTTTCCCAAATAAAAACATTTGATTTGAAGCAAAACCAGCTCCTGCATTAATAATTAATCCAAATTCATAATTAAAAAAGGAATATTTAATTATGATAATGCAGCTAGTTAAACTAAACACAATGGTTAGTAGTAGTACCAGATTCTTGGTCCAGTTTCAAGCCTCTTGTGTGTCCATCAGCAGATGTGTTCACATGGGTAGGAGACCATATCACAAAGAAGTCCTTATTGAAGTCTCCTGTTGAAACAATAGATGCAACTGAAACTTGAAACAGACTTGACGAAACAAACCAAATGAAGAAGATAAGAACTGTGTGGAAGTTTTTCATGGTTCCTGTGAACGAATATGTCTAGGGCTCTAACTTGTAACTGATAATTGAGGAAGCTATATATAGGTATTGCATGGAAGGGACAATGGCAGTTTTGTTAAATTAAGAATATCTTTACAAGGAAGCAAAGGAGTTTTTAGCTGTCCGAATCTTCATGGTTGAGAGTAGGTGGATTCCTTAAGAGTTCACATTACAACATTAATAAATGTTAAGGTACTCTTAGAGTGATGAAAATCATAATACTAATTGGTGATTACTGCAACGTTAATATTGATGAGGGGCCATGCTGTTACAACAATTGTTATTAAGGAGGAGCCATGTATATCATCAACCGTTTTAAGTAACAATCAATCCATTGATGCACCATATTAATATTGTCATGTAAACTCCATTTTGTCATAATTAGATTCCAGAATTTTCAATCTTTTTGGATGAAAATAGTCCAATAGGATTAGTATCAGTAGGGCCTTTCTAATTCACATTTGCATTGAATAATCAAGTGAAGTTCATCTTTATTCACGCTTTAATTGTTACCGGCCAAGAAAGGAACACGTTGAAAGATGAATTCGAGAGTATTGTCATCCAAGAATCCAGATCAAACTTAACTTGGGGGAAAGAAACTTATTTTGATCAGAATAAGGATAATAAAATATGTACCAGTCTTTGGTCACACACTTGTGCTTGCTCAAGAAAAGCGTTTTCCCTGTCTTAACAGAATTTACAAAAATGAGTAGCTGACAACAAAATTGCTTTCTTGCCTCATGAGATTTCCCCTCAAGACAACTTGGTTTTAAAGCTTCCATTTGCCTAAGGGCTTCAAAAGATTTATTCCTTCCCTCCCTTTGTAGGGACGTTATTGTGTTAGTTATCCTACAACTTATATTTCACTACATTTTTTTCTTTAGCAACAAATAAGTATTCACAAAGAAGGAACAGGATATTTTTAAGGGGAACTATAGTTACTTTTTTTTATTATTTATTTTTTACTTATTTATTAGAATTGAGCTTGGTACCAAAGTAGACTCCACTGGTAAACTACAGTTACTTTGATATACGGCGAAATAGATGTAAAATCAGAAAATGGATTGCACTTGGACAAACAATTCTATTCCACTTCCACCCCGTCTTCTTTGATGAGAGAATCTGATAACAAGTATTTTTGAATGCTACAACTAATTGGAACGTTCAGAATGATTAGTTTGAATTTGAAAAAAAAAAAACTATACAAATATTTTTTTTAACAAATTTTTATTAGAAAATAAATATAATGATAAAACTAAATATTTTCATTAATTAAAAATAAGTTATATATCTTAATTTTTTGAGGAATTTAGATAAAAGGAATTCCAAAATTTATAAAGTGTATAAAATGATTTTAATTTACCTTGTAAAAAATTGATTCGTTTTACCTATTTTTTAATAATTGATTATTAAGAAGAAGAAAAATTCAACCTGGGTCTTGCCTGATTTCTCCACATCCGTTCGGTGACAAGCCTTTGAATTTGAAAGTTTATTTTCGAATCAATTTATTATGAAGCTTGCAATCACGAGTTGACAAATATTACTGAGTTGGGTGCTGCTCCTGTATGACAAATATTACTGAAAAATGACGAGTTATATAATACATGCCAATTGTTGGATCCAACTGCCAACCCACCGTCTATAAATTCCTGAATTTTGTTTGCCACCTGTTGAAAAGAACAGCTATATATATTTATGTTTTCACACGAAATGATATCGGAAAGTTGACACACACACACAAAAAAAAAGAAGATAGTGATGAATATCATTGTTAATTTAAAAGAAAATATATGCTACTTCTCCGCAAGTTTTCACTTTTCACACATGAAAAAAAAAATATAAGGATAATTCTAGTGATGAACAAATTTAAAATTGACAATTCAACGTATTATGCAATCAAGAAAGAAAATATAAATGCAACCATTTTTTTACCTGGTACATACTACATACAGATCCCAACTAAAATACAAAGTTTAGACTATTGTCCTATAAAAATAACATAAAATATCTTGATGCTGATCACTTGCTTAATTTTATGAAACATTTCCAAATCTGTGTTTTTTCTATCCTTTTTTAAATAATCCGTGAAACAAGAACGAAGAAAAGGACGATGCTTTTTATCGTGACCCTGGCGAGTGGGGTTAAGTGTACGATTAAGACTTAAGACTCGGAATGTGGTCAAAGGACAAGGCAGCTTCCTTGTTTTAGATCGCTGTGTTGCTCAATACCACTCACACTTCAAATGAAAACTCTTTGACACCTAAATCCTTAAATGTCACCACTTTTGTCTTAGCCTCACCTTCTCCACTCCCTTTCACTGCCTGCTTCCTTTGTTTTCTCTGCTCATTAAGGTAACTTTCTATCCTTTTTCTAACTCTTTTCTTTTCCATTTTCGAACAAGGATTTGCTCTGCTCATTTCTGGAACAAGGGTACGCTGAATCTCTATTCAAAATTCCATCTTTTTTTTTTTGTTTTTTTTTTTTGTATCTTACTGTGTATAGATTAGATAAACATACGAGACCCTATATCTGTTTTCGTCTTTCATTTTTTTCTCAAAAATGGGTATGACCCTTCAAGCATGCTCTTAATGTAGAATGGGGTTTTACTGGGAAGAACAAAATCTGATTTTGTGCTTCTTCCTTTCTGATTGATCTGTGATGGCTTTTTGCCTTTTGAAATTCTCGGTTGATTGTTGTGGATGGGGTTTTTGTTTTGCTTCGGGGGCTTATAGGGATTGCATTTGGTTTCTTCTCTGTGCCTTTGCATTTTGTTCCTTTGTGTGATTGTTTTCCTGAAACCCCGTAGTGACTGGGCTTTCTTTTGTTTTGCTTATTATATGGATTTTTGTGGTGGAAATGCATAGCATAATACTAAAAATAAACTATTTCACTATTTAAAATTTTTTTTTTCGAGTTGATTTGCCTAGTACCATAATTGACTTGTCACTTGCCATGGAAGTTGAGAATTGAAATCTGAACCTTGTTAGTGTGTTGTTTAACATGGTTTTGTTGAACACTGTTTCTGGAATTGGAAAATTCCCTGGAAAAGAGTACCTTAATTGAAATGCTTGCCATCTGCAATTATAGAAAATTTCTTTTCGTATAATCTGTTTTGAGTGAACTGTTCTTAGTTAGAGATTTTTCTCTTAGTACCGACCGAGAAAAAGTTTTAAAATAGAGCATAAATCTTGTGTGCCCCTTTGATAGTCCTTTCTATTTCCGCATTTCTTTATTGGGGTCAATGAAGGCTCTGGTAACTTGGGATATTTTAAACTTATTATAAGTATTTCCGTTTTTAATGATATCTTTACTACGATGATCATAGCTTACAGTCTTACACATATCCTTAATATTGTTTTTCCAACCCAAAGCAGGTTACTTGTCATTTCTATTTGGAGACGAAAATCAGGGGTTTTCAAAAGTGAAACATGATAAAACGGTTTCCAAGTAGGAATCATAGGTCCAAAGGTATCAAGGTAAAACATGTTTTGCAAATTATTCTGTTGCTTGGGGTTTGCTTCTGGTTGATCTACCAGGTTAAGCACAATCATGATAAGAAGAAGGAATTTGACAAGAAGGATGCAAAACTGTCGGTCAGTGCAGAGACAAATCAGATCCTGAAGCTTGGTAGAAGAGACCTCCATCCAGTTAAGCATGACCACACAAAACCTGAGGAAGAAGAGGAAGATGAACATATTGAAGAGGATGAAGAAAATAAACATGGCCAAGAAGAACAAGAAGATGGAAGCAGGCATGAAACTGAAGAACACGAAGATAACAAGCATGACAGTGGAGAACAAGGGGAAGAAGAAAATAAGCATGGAGCAGAAGAACAGGAGGAAGACGAAAACAAAAATGAAGACATGGAAGATGAAGGAAGAGGGGGAGGAGATGACGAGATAGATGAAAATGATCAGGAGAAGCCACAGGTGGATACCACTGACCGTGATGATGAGTTCTTGGATGAAGAGAAAGAGAAAGAGGTTGATGAAAAGGAGGATGAGGATAAGGAGGGTTTAGTTGAAAACCACAACAATCATGAGGCTAGGGAGGAACATTACAAGGGGGATGATGCTTCTAGCGCTGTGGCGCATGATACTCATGCAACTAGCACTGAAACTGAGACACTTAGCTTGGAAAACTCTGATGTAAACATGGAAATGAATATCACAAAACCTGAAAATGAGGCAACTTATTCAGATGAAAGTGTCAGGAATCAAAATGATTCAGGTTTGAAGGTTTCAGAAGGGGACACAATAGACAGGATTTCTTCAAATGTAACTACTGAAGTGACTGGAAATAACACTTTGTTCAACCCTGTGGATGATAGCCCAAATCTTAATAAAAAAGCCACAATAAACTCCGACAACCACTTGGAAGTAACTAGTAACCTGACAGTAACAACCACTGAAGCAAGCAATAATGAGACTGGAGCTGGTAAAGACACATCAAGTTTATCTGAACAAAACAAAACAGTGATGTCTGAATCCGACCAAGCTCAAAATACCACAAAGAACACAACGATCCCTGGAGATGTAAAAAATGTGCAAACAGATGGATTAGAGCAAAGTGGCGATAGAATTTCTGAAGAAAACCTGCATAATACAAATTTAACTGTTAAAACTGAAAATGGAGAAGCAGCTTCAGGAGAATCATCTAATCTTGAGGGTGGTGAATTAGAGAAGACAAACAGATTTGTAGCTTCAAATGGAACTGAGAACACTTATACAAATGAGAGGTCCGATACCTCTGAAGGTGACAAGTCCAAAGGTAACACTGAAAAAAATGAAACTCAGAATGTTGATGGCACGGAGGATGAGATGTTCAAAGGTGACATTCAAACAGGTGAAACTGATGAAACATCAGACTCTTTCTCTGCCAATGAAACTTTGGATTCAGCTGAACAAGATGCCATTGATTCTTCTGATACTCATATCCATGAGGATGTGACCGAGGCTCGTACAGACCTTGACACATTGCCAGATATAAGAAATGAAGGAGATGATAGTGATGAAACTGTTGCAGAGTAAAGTGGAAAAAAAAGGTTGTTGGGTTCTTGAAAAGGGCTCTTTCAGTTTTTCTTCTGACCCGGGTGCTTGCACGGCAGATCCACCTAGTTGTTAGAACATGTTTAGCTTGACTCAAAAATGTGTCAAGACAAGATCTTTAAAGGTACAAACATAGTTTAGTGGATATTTTTACTGATTGTATCAATGTCTGGGGTATGTATAATTTATTGCTACATTTCACTATCAACTACTTTTGTTCCCCTTATTTTTGTGTGAACTACGTTCTTTACTATTCTCTACTTACTGGAGTGGAGTGCTAATAAGGTGAAATATCAATTGACTGAAAATGATGAAATCTTCTGTAATCTGTAGTGGAATACCTCCTCCGTCTTATCTTTATCCTCATCCTTTTCACATTCTTGTCCTTCTTCTCTTCCTCTTCTAACTAACTCTTTCTCATCACCGTCCTGAAACATTGTTTCTAAGGATCAACTATCTATTTGTGATGATCAACTATTTCATCAATTAAGTCATCTAGTCTTTCAACTTTTGTAATTGGGAGGATTTGTGGCATTTCATCAGCTAGACGTGACACTTCATTTTTTCATATCATCGACTTCTGCATGATCCATTGACTTTGTTGTGATTACTTCTAGATAACAGACGAAATATACTTGTTTAACTTTTTGTACATGGATGAATGAATTTTTGTGTACTACAATGTCGACTCATCTTAATATCTACAATATTATATTGTAAATGAACCCTTGAGCCTTTGTTTGCTTGTTGATATAAACCATTCATTCAAAAGAACAATAATCTTATTACTAAAACAATGATACTCCAATTAAAAGATATGTTGAACGATGTCACGAACCATCTTCTTCAACAGTTTTGTACCTCACAATTTTGTAGTTTTGTTATTTTGTACCACTATTTCAAGCCTTTGTGAAAATTTACCCATTAACAAAGTATGTGCTGTGAAAATTTATTAAATAAGCCTTTGGTTTGATCATCTCATTCTTCTCATCATGAACCAATGCAGAAGATACACATAAAGCTTGAGAAATGTTTATCTATAATTTCATCGATTGTGAATATCGCACTTGCATACGATTAAACCATTCTAGGAACTCTATGCATACAATTCAGAACTTTTTCATCATTGATGGGGTGATCGATATTGCAAGATAATGTGACCATAAGTCCATGTTTTGTCTGGTAGTAAAAAATTATTGAATTTAAAGGACTATGTTTTCCAAATAATTCAGATAATTGCAAACCATACAATTTGGCACATGAAAGTTGTTTTTTTTTTTTTGTATTTTATTAAACGAGCTATCCGTAGTGGCACACATGCTTCGCACCGAAGGAAAATATGTGTCGTTGTTTCCTCTCTCACATTGCAAGCTGAATACACAATATTATCAGCTGGGATCACCTTATGCTTAACCAAATATAAATAATTTGTTCGTATATCTAAAATATAACTCATGTTTAAAAATATTTATTTGTACAAATTTTAAATATAATATATATATATATATATATAAATAAAAGTTTATTTCTTATTGTCCTCATTATAATATTTCCTTCTTATCGGTAAACAAAATTAGAAAGAAAGGAAAAAAATTGATTTATTTGGATAAAAACTCGTAGGCGAGCCGCGAGTGGGTTGCAAAAGGATATGGACATTGAATAAAAGATTGTAGGCGACAGTTGAAAAAAATAATATATGGCAAAACATGTATGAAAAGAACAACACGTACGTATAAACAACATTATTTAACTTTTATAAAAAAAATTGAATTTAAAACAAATATAGCAAAACATGTATGAAAAGAACAATACGTGCGTATAAAAAATTATTTGACTTTTATGAAAAAAAAAATGAATTTAAAACAAAAATAAATACGATAACGATGATATTTGTATGCAAGAGATCCTATCTCATTCTTGGATTTAGCTTCTTTAAAATGAGTAATAATTTGGTTACTCATTTTATATATTTGGTTCGTTCATAATAAAATCAATTATAAATATTTTTATATTTCATAATTTGTAATGATTGTGTATTTAATTTTTTCACCAACAACCTAAGTTACTTATTTTAACTTTTAAAGTGAGTTTTTTATTCACATTTGTAAATTCGAATTCGTGATTCTTATATATCATTTTCTTTCGGATAATAATATATCCAATATATTTTCTCATTCTCTCAAAAATATATTTTTTTCTCATATTTTTTTTAACATAGCAAAGTGTAAAATCTGACTTTTGAATATATTGATTTTTTTTTGCTATAAAAATTACTTATTTTCAATATATTACCTTACGAGAGAGTCAAAGTTCCAACTGCTATAAGCTTTTGATTTGAAAGTGTTTCTTTATTTACATAGAATAAAAATAAAAAGAATGAAAGAACAAATTGTTTTTTTCTAGCTCTGGATGATGAAATATAAAATTTTTCTTAAATCCGCAAGGATAAATTATTCTATGATATAGAAATATTGGATGACGTTGGCCAATTTTCATGTGATATGTACGTAGTTTAAATTTATTGACTTTCTTGTTAGTAAAAAAAATTAGTTACGTATCACATGAAATTTGGTCAAAAACATTGATAAGTATTGATTTTCGTTAAACCAATTGTGATTTTTTTTTTATTGAGCTCCTACAGGACCAGTGTCTAAAAGTCCATGATTTAATTGCAGCTTTAAACATTGCGCTAAGAAAATGTATCTAGCTAACGTTAGGCTAATTAACAACTAACACCTCACCGGAAGATGCTTTTATTCTCATATAACCATCTCTTCCGTTTGTTCCAAATGTTTTCATAGTCAAATAATTACAACAGAGACACACTAAGAGAAGAAAACAAGGACACAATATATGTTGCCTTGTATACCAAGTACGATAATTGTTTATAAACAGAAGCATATATAGTAAGTGTTTTAACTGCTGTTAGTTCTTTCTTACCCATGTTTTTATGTTTGGTGTGACAAAACTTATTACCAAGCAATGGGAAGTCTGAGAAGACCAAAACATGGTAGGAATTTGGTAAAACTACTGCATGGGATTGATTATGCAAACAGACACTGCATAGTTCACAACCTAATACAGACATGTCCTTAGTTCCCGACAATAATTTGGTGAGAAAAGAATCCAAACATCTTGGAGAGATTAAAATGAATAAATAAATATTTATAAATAGACTGATATTGATATATTAAAAGCAAGATAAAGTAAAAAACAGTATGTGATACATGCGCTGGTAAAGCTTATTCTTTTAATGTGAGAAATATCTCTTCGCATATACAAAAAAGAAAAAAAAAGAAAAAAAAACTTTGGTTCTGGTGCACTAAAAGTAGAATAAAAAGAAAGAAAAGAAGCAGAAAAGTAGAATGACAAGAAAGAAATGAAAATGAAACCTGTTGATGAAAATGAAAATATACTATTGCATCCCAAACATCATCAATTGAGTAGCCCTTTCTGCTAATTTTTTTCTCAACTCATAAACGGCCACCATGAACGGTTCCAACTGGTCATCAAGTATCTGATCAACGGGCTGGTTCCACCAAAGATTTCCATTACAAGTCTTAGCCAACATTTCAGTTTCTTCCAGAATCTTCTTTTCCATCTCCAGCTTCTTCTTTGCCTCTTCATATTGCATGTTATGCTCTTCATACGACACCGTTTTCCCTCTCGACTTTGTTGGTTCAGACTCTGCTGTTCCTTTGACATAGCGGGTAAGTATTGTGTCGATGTCGGGGTGAGAAAAGATGAACAATTTGTCAGCAGGAGAAAAGACGATTATGGCTGCATAAACATTGCACAAAATGCAGAGTTCGCTGGCTTTCTTGAACAGTCCCGTTCTTCTTTTTGAGAACGTGACTTGCTTGTTGCTAGCCTTGTCGAGCTTCTTGATCTCAATCTTCTTGCGGCCTGTGTTTATCTTCTTCTTCTTCTGGTTAAGCATATCCATGCCTATAGGAATATCAGAATTATCGTAGTGCTACCTTCCTCAAATGCTTTATTTATAGCGGAAGATTTATCTTTCCTCGTAATAAAATTCTACGATTACGCTTCCTTAGATTATCAATCAAATAAATCAATTAAGCACTAATTTTTCCATTCTAATTTTGGACACGGTTTCAATTAATGAAAGGTAAATTAAAATTTTGTTTCTTTTTTCACTGCATTAAAAATTTGTCTTGAGATTTTATGTTGAAAGAGAATATATTTGTATTAATGGAAAACAAGTTCTGATTATTTTTCTCTACTTTCAATAGCGGCGCAAGTACAGTATATGGTGAGGTTTTCAGCGAGTTATTTAGTCCAATAATTTCTCCAAATAAAGTTACCGTTACTAGCCGCCTTATTTAAAATTATTAACGTTATTCATTTGTTTTGGTTCCACATGAAAATAAATAAATAAATAATATTTAAATAGCTTCTACATGAATCAATACTAATCATAATATTGTATAATTTAATATGAACTCTGTCCACTTCTCGTGATATTTTTTTAAAAATAAATCAAGAGCTTAAAAATCTTTTCAATATTCAAACAATATATTTCCAATTTATCCTCATTCAAAGTTTTCAACTTTTAGGATACAAAATAAAAAAATCAAACGTGATTTCATAATTTTAATTACTCAATCGACTTTAAATGAAAAAGTTAATTGATTTAATATATATACACACACGAAGAAAATAAGTTTCTCTATTTACATGTGTTATCTTATTACTAATATTCTCAACAAATTGTGTTATATATATATATATATATATATATATATATATATATATATATCATATGTTTATTCATAAAATTAAAACTCTATACTTTTTTCAATAGTTTTTTTTTTTCAAAAACAAGTTAGATAAAGTATAAAATAGATGTAAAATAATTTTTTGAGAAACATTTTAAATAAATAATACGATTACACTTAACTGATATTATATACACAATTGGACGGTTTTTCTTTTTTCTTTTATATTTGTATAAGGTAAAAATCTATGAATACGAATATAAATATTTTTAATATATACTAAAAGTTGTCGGTTTTTTTTCCTGAATACTAGTGCTTTTTTTCATTTGTAATAATCGAATTTGATTATCTATTAGAATCTCATCTATATTAATTAATTAAAAACAATAAATATTCATTTACTCACAAATTTGTATATAAGATAAATTCATATTTTAATATCAGTGTTAATATTTTATTTATTTTTCTTTAAAACACTCAATTGATATTAAAATTAATTGATGTCTAACATGATTAATATTTTTTTTAATAACCATTTAAAATATTTTGGTATACATAAAGTGCTTGAACTTTTTTTATTATAAATAACTGTTCAACATAAATTGCTTGAATTATTTAAATTTCAATCAATATAGATTCGTTAATTTTAATCTAACTATATATAAGCAAAAAAAAACATTAATTGTTTTAATTTTAATTTTAATAAATAAAAAATTAATTTTAATTTGTATAAGTTACTTTAGATAATAATTAATTCAATCATATTTTATTAAGAAAACAACATATAGATTGATTATTGATTTGAAAATAGTCTTGAAGGAGACATAAATACGTTGCTTAATGTTATACCAAAATTTAACATTTTATGTATCATTCTAAATTATTTAAATATAAATCGCTAGAAACTAATTTTAACCAATAAATAATATTAAAAAAGTGTAAAAAAAATCAATATAAATTAATTTTAATTTGGCCATATATAAGTCTGAAAACCTCATTCTAATAATTACTATACATTCTGTATCATTTTTATAACATGTGTTATACCTAGTATCTATTTTTATATGACGAATCTTCTATTTCTTAGCACTGAGTTTAATTCCTTAGAGAGAAAAAAAAAAGGACGAATATTCTTACCAATAAAAATCACAAATTATGAATATTGAGGCAAATCAATTAGTATAATGAATAACAACAATTAGTTATCATAGTAATAAATTTCAATTTATTATTGGTTGTTTGTAATTCTCCTACATTATTTGTAATTTATGTTTTTAAATTTATAATTTAAAAGGTAACATAGAAAAATATGAGTATTGGAAGCATGTGAAGTAATCTTTTAGGTGAGCTTCTATTTTCAATCTTAGCATGTTATCGACGTCCTAATCACTAGTATTTATAGTGTTTTTTCATTCTATCACTTTATTCATAGAATAATAAAATTAAACTTAGGACTCAAAATTGAAATCATTGATTAAGGTTTTTTTTTATATATATAAATATATTATTAGTATGATTGAAGTATCCAACATTTTTGTCAATATAGTATAAGAGAAAATAATTTGATAACTTATGTTTTAGGTAAAAATTCTGTCTTGTTTGATGTAGAGAATATTTATAATGAAATTTCTTATTGCATTTAGAATATTATTTCAATGAAAATAATATGATTTTTTTTGTGTAAAAAAAATTCATTTGGACAAAACTTTACATGATAACTAATTTATAACAAGAACAGATCCTATAAGTAGAATGATAAAGCCTTTGTAAAATAACACACACATATATAAAATATATCTTGGAGTGCAATTATGAAGTTTAATTTTATATTGGTTAAAGTTGAGTATGATATGTAGCATATAAGTGAAAAAACATTCACTTATTTAATACCTTAAAATTTTAGATTATATTGTGATATCAAACTCACGTATATATAACCTCAAGTGTGTGGTTCAGCGATAGGGGTTGATTTACGCTTAAGCAAGGTTAAAAGTTCGAATCCTGCCTTATGTATGTAGCCGCGTTAAATCTTGGAGTCAGCTATATACCCTTTGAGGTGCCTCCAACCTAACAAGGAAAGATTGTGGTGAATTCTCCATGAACGAACCTAAAACCTAAAAACTCGGTTATATATTAGTGAGATCATGATTCAACCAAGTGACCGTTATTGTAAAATGAAAAGACTTCCTAACTTAATGCTAAGATTTTAAGTTATCTTGAGGTATCATATTTTTTATTCAAATAGTATTTTTCCTATTTTATCATTCATATTAATTAATATCTAAATATATTTAGTTTTCAACAAATTAAATATTTTTGTTTTAACTAAAAAAAAATTTCTGGAGCGTTTTAAGTTATTTGTTATTAATTAGTGTTATGTTTTAGTTAAATAAAATGAAAATATAATTTCTATATAAATAGATCAGGTGTGACAAATTGTATAATTTAAGTGTTATATTAATTAGTATTATGTTTCAATTAAATGGAATGAAAATAATATAGGCATTATATAAATAGATCACGCGCACCAAATTATACTATCACTTTACCAAATATTATACTATTCTACTTGAAAGGATACGCACTCGTTTACATCACGAGGTTAAATAAGTCTGTTGTTAAAGTGTGGTTAATTTTTTTGCACATAATATCTCATTAATTCCTTTAACTCACAACGCTCTCTCCAACACCTAACGCCTTTTAATTCCTTTCCCCTTCCGCTGAGGTCCATAAGCATCCATCTTAGACTTCATTATTTTTTTAGTGAACAACAATTATTAAAATCTGATGATTCACAGTTTGATTTGATATGATTCGACTAGTTGTGAATTTATATATCACAAGATGAATCTCAGATGATTTTAAATTTTACAATATATAAATAAATTAGTATAATTTCGTATCATCGATACGAATCACACAATTCAATGATTTGTGATTGTTCTAGTTTTTCTTTCACTAATTCTCATGGAAGAAATTAAAAGTTAAAAGTTTAAATTATTAAATTAAAAAAATTGAAGATGCAGTTCCTAATTAAATTACGCTATTTTAATTATTCTAGTACTTTATTTATCAATTGTGAGCATCGATTTGAATAGAGTAATCTATACATCCAAGAAGATGAAGAAGATAAAATAAAGGTGAAATTTATTCCCCTGGAGTCCAGAGTCCAGAGTCCTTGATGAATGAGGACAAATTATTTAGAAGGACGTACGTTTGTGGTTGAAAAGAGGGGGAATAATTGGAAATATAAAGAAAGAAGTGAGGAGATAAGCATTCGAAAAGAAAAAGAAATTAAAGATAGGCGGTGGGAAAGGCGAGGTAATGCGCATTGGGATGAACATGAAGCGAGGAAGCAGCGGAGCGTCCAATTGGGGGAAGGGCATTGTTAGGGCCAAGAAGGGAGGAAGAATGATCGAGAATGAAATTGGTAGCATGGTTTTGAATGTTGTTCTTGAGGTCCTCAATAGAAAGCTTGAGTTGAAGCAAGTGATGCAATCCAAGGTCATCGACGGGAGTCTCCCACCAAAACTGTCTCTGCCTAGCCTTGCGCACGTGATCCAGATCCTCCCCGCGCTTCTTCTCCATCTCCAAGTGGTTAAAAAGCTGCGTCAGCTGCATGTTGAGATCGCGAACATTGGCGTTACGGTGCGCCTCCACCAGGTGGTGCGCGCTGGACTCCTGCGGAGGGTTCCGCGTGGTGTAACGATCGATGAGGGACTCAACTTCTGGGTGGCCGAAAGAGAAGGCCTTGTCCGCAGGAGAGAAAACTAGGATTGCGATCTCAACACCGCAAAGGGTGCATAGCTCGCTCGCTTTCTTGAACAACCCTGATCGACGCTTAGAGAATGTAACTTGCAAGTGACTCTTCTTTGGTATTTTCTCAATTGGGATCTTTTGCCGACCCAGGCTCGACTTTTTATTCTTCCACATCGTATGTTCCATCACAACTGCCTCCTGCTTCTTTTCCCACTCCACTCGAACCTATAACGTCACTATATATATTGCTAAATCTTTGCTTTGCACCTACCCAATACCCAATTGATTTTCCTTTTTATGTCTTTTATTTCTTTTTATTATTACTCCAAAACCAGCAACTTATATAATCTCTGCTCTTAATATGTGATTATGGTAGGAGACCAAATTGGTAGCTATTATTCAAGCTTCTTAATTCACTCTTCTCATATTAAATCACGATATATTGACTTCTTGATATTTTCACTGGTGGAAAAGTAATATACGGCATTACGATATTACATTGCTTCTTTAACAATTCATGTAATATGTGACGTAGTCACATTTTTTAAAATAATGTTAGTTGTATTAAATTCATGGTTGTCATTTAACCAATATGGAATCTTATTCTATGTTTGTTTAGAGTTAAACTAGTGTATTTTTTTTTATCTATCTAATTCTAAATTGATGTAAAAAAATGATATATTATATTGGTTAAATAATAATTAATGTAATATTTAATATTATTAACCTTGATTTGGATCGATCCGATCAATAACCTGTGTATCAACACATTTGAGTTAATAATTAGATTAATTTAGGTAAGATAAAAAAAATACTCATACTCATGAGTATTTATAGATAAAATTTGTTATAAATAATAAATGAGTAGCTTAAATATATATATATAAGTAACAAATACATGTATTTTTCTATCTATTTATAAATGAGTGGTGACGAATATTATGGTATTTATATTCGCAAATACTTACTAAGTAAAATACTTAAATATTTATATATTTATTTTGTATTTTCCTATCGCTAATATTGTCATCTCTAATCAAATCGAAAGTGTACTAGACTAGTGATGACATCATCAAACCAATTGAAAACTCGGTTAAACCTGTTAAGGCCATTTTGACCAGACAAGTACTATGTATTGTCTGTGTCCCAAGCTAGTCCTTTGCATGTTGTCCAAAGAGACGTAGACGTTGTAGATCAAATTTGTGTAGTCCTAGAAAAGGTGTGCTACTCAAGAAGGTGATGTTGCACATCTTAGTTTATCATTCAAGTAGAAAATAAAAAAAATAATTAACAAGAACTCAAACACAATCTCTATACATTATTAAACACTTCAACTAACTATCAAGCTAAACTTGATTATTGATTTAACAACTGACAAAAACAACGTATGTGTGTGTTATATCTAAAACATATTATATATATATATATATATATATTATAAGCTTAAGAATTAAAAGATATTCCTCAAGTCTCATATTGATTAGATATAAAACAATTAAAGAGTATATAAGTTGGGACAACACTCACCTT